AGCTCTATTTCTCTGCCAGTGTGCAGACTCTGTGACTCTGTTCCACTGCTTCTTAGCTTTTCTTATAACGTTCACCTGTACTAAAAACATAATTCCTCTCTCTTCATGTAACCACAAACACATTGTAGTGACTCAGAACTGGATCCTGTTCATGCAGTTTCCTCAAGTGTCCACTAGATGTCGGTATATTCACAGTGATGACTTTTCTGTCAAATTCTGACTTTTTTTTAAAAAGAAAAATCTTTGATATGTAGATGAAGTTTCCTGCTTTCTGACTTTCTATTTATGATTGAATATCATTTAAGTTTAGTGACAGCTGAGTACATGAGTGAATAAAAGTGTGAGATTATGGAGGTGTTTGTACTGACAACTGTGTTTGTAATTATGGTAATTAAGTACATAACGCTTTCAAATTCATTGAAAATAACATATAAAATAATAGTTATTAAAAAATACTACTTGGAACAACTTAATTTTTCTGAGTAATCACCTTTGACTGTAAAGAAACGCTAATTGCTCAAACTCGTTGTTTGTTGGTTAAAGTTAAGTTCATTTTTTTGAGCCAAACATTATTCCTTAAAGTGACACTCACCGTCTTAAATTATAAGTAAATAAATAAGAAATAAAGCAAATATTTGCATCAACCTTAGTGAGTTATGACGGCTTCTGATTACAGCAGTTTGTTCAATCAGCTTTTCCTCTACAGTTAAAGATCCTTTAAATTAATTCATCAATGGCAGCAGAACACGTTTTAAAACAAATAAATGTTCCAACTAGTAATTCTGTTATTTAGAAGGATTTTTTTAAACTGCCATGTACTTAATTATGGTAATTAAGAACACAAGTTTTTAAGTTGGCAAATAAAAAATAAAAAACTTGCTCCAGTATTTAGTCGATAAAGGAGGAAACTTGAAGTCCTGAATTTCAGGTGAAGATAAATTAAGTCATTCAGATGATTTCATGAAGTTCTCTCAACTTTATTTTTCTTTTTTCTGATTTAAATACTGAGTTGTTTCAATGACCAACATGATGTCAACAAAACCCATCAAAGCTCTTTTCTGTTTCATTAAATTCTTCACCTTTTTCACGAGTTTATTTTTCTCATCTTTTGTCTTTTTCTGCTTTTTAAGTGAATCATTTATCTCTAAAATCTGTGTCTGCACTCTACTGAACTCGTCTGCACTGTTTTGGTTTTATTTAACTGATTTATTTCTATTCTGGTGTAATTTTCTACATTTAATTTTGCCAATTTTTTTAACCTTAATGACTTTTTAATGTGTTCATGCTGTAGCTGCATTAAACAAGTGACTTTCCTACTCCTGACATAGATAAACTCTGAGCTGTGTGTGCATGTTGCAGACTTTACTGAATGTGTTGAGTTTAGATCCAGAGCAGAGGCTGACTTTTAAATCAGGGTCTCCTCTTCCTCCTGCAGGATCGGCTCCTGGTGTATTTATAGTCGAGGTCTGCAGCAGAGATGCTGCTCTGCTGTAGCACGACTGTGTCACTCAGGGCCGGTGGTCCCTAGTCACGACCTAAATGATGACAAAATCCTGCACCACGGGAAGCTGACGTCACCGCGGTACAGTCACCTCCTCGGTGACGTCACTGGAGGGAGGCTGGATGGCAGCATCATCATCATCCTCATCATCATCCTCCTCCTAACCAGCAGCAGCAGCAGCAGCAGCAGCAGCAGCAGCAGCGGTGGGGTTAATGCCATCTGCTGGATGGACGCAGCCACTCACCCGGCATTACGTCATCGGGGAGAAACCGGTGAAGCCTGAGAGTGTGGATGTGAATACAAAACGAGGCAAGTGAGAGTCTGACTGTAGGAGATCCACCGTCTTTCAAACAGCCTCCAAAGTTTCCAGGGACTCCACACTTTATATTTGCACCAAGTTGTTTCTGACTTTGTCTGTGCAGAAAGCTAATGTAGCACATTGACAGTATAATTGATCCACGATTGACTCAGGACATCACATTAACATACAGCTTTTTAAATAGGATTCATAGATGATAGGTTTATTATTTGTCCTCTTGGGGAAAATCAGGGCATCCACTCACTCACACATTTTACATTTAAGAAAAATAAGGAAGCTCATGTGCCAAAGAACCTGCAAATCCTGCTGGTAGAAGAAACAAGGTGCAAAATTGTTCTAATTTTAAAAAGAATTAGATTAATGATGCTTTCTTGGATTCAAGGATTTGGATTTGCAGCTAAATAAACAACAGAACACACAGACTTGAATAATAGAAATATCACTGTCAACATATTTTTACAGGATGTAACAGTGATTTTTTCCAACAATTTATTTTTACTAATTTTCTCTTTTGTGTTAATTTTAACATAACGAGTAAAATAATAGAAAAGCGTGTTCGTTTATACGTTAACTGTATGAAACTGTAGATAATGTGCACATCAAAAGTCATTATTATTATAAATAGTGTTTGACAGAAAGATTACTCTGTTTTAAACCTAAAAAAAAAAATCAGATATTTTCTGTTATTTATTTATTTATTTATTTGTTTTTTAGGTCTATTAGGAATTGAAATTGGTAAATCACTTTTAACTGGTAATTTTACAAATTTTCCTGTATTGTTAAATTAGAGGTAATAGAAATTTTTTCAAAAACTCAACAATTTACACGCTCACTGTAAAAACAACAGCAACAAAATGCTAAAACTCAACATCAACAAGCTGTAATTTTACAAATGGTGATTTGTTCTTTTCTGACATCTGAGTGTAAAGTTTCTTTACCGCCTTTAAATCAGCAGATAAATGATCAGTAGATATTCTTTGGTGTTGTCACAGGTTTTCCATTTTGTTAAGGTTGGACATGAAACACATTCATAAACAGAGTAAATCTAATAGAACGTAGTTAGCCACCAATCTTATCACATATCAAGTGACATAAAGTGGATCTAATTAAAACAATACAACACAAGACAGTCACAATGTTGTCTAACACCTGACTCAAAAAATATGTAAAAAAAAAAAAAAAAAAGATGAAATACAAAATCTGTAACAAAACAAAAAACAAACAAAAAAAAAGGTAAAAATAATGGCAAATAACTGCAAAATAATTAGATCTTTAGCTGATTTAACAACAGGGAAACTGTGTCATTTTAGTCAAACTATGTGAAAGGAAAAAAAAAGCTATGTGTAAAACTACAGATTTTCTATGTGGATGTTATTTATATTTTTTTTAAATGTGATTTTTACGAAAAAAAATATCTGCAAAATAACATTTTCAAATGACAAATTTTCAGTCTTGGATACATAATGTTTCTCTCAAATAACACATATTAAATAACTATATTTTTTGCTGATTTAAATACACTTAAAAAAAAAGTATAAATTTCCAGTTAAATAATGTAAAAGAGCAAAATACAATCAGTCACCAGTAAACATGTAAATTAATTGTTTCCCTGTAATGTTACTAGATATCTGTACTTTAACATAATTGGGGAAAACTGTTAAAAAACCGTTTAAAAAGTGAATCTTTATTTTTTTCTGTACTTAAAGAGCAAATTAATATTTGTAAAAATCCAGATTTTATTGTAGACTTTATCTACAGTTTTGGTCTTTTTGTCCACAGTAAACATGCAAATCAATATTGTTCTGTGATGTTTATGGTTATTATCTGGAGTTCAACCAACAGGAAAAATCTGTAAAATACTGGTAAAAATAATTTATAATTTACTCTATTTCCGTCCTGACTTTACATTTTTTGTTCTACTTTAAATAATAGCATATATCTGTAAAATAACAACTTATTTTTGTTGATTTAAATCAGAAAGTAGTCTTATTTTACAGTCAAATGTTGCAATAATAATTATTATTATAATTACTATTTGTAGAAATACATGTGAACATAATTTACAGCTTTGACCTGCTGTTTTTTTAGTGTTAAAGTGTAAATTAGTACTTGTTCTGGGATTTTGCCATCTGTAATTTAACAGAACTGGGAAAATCTGCCAAATTCTTTTAAATTACAGTTAAAACCGTTCCTTTTTTCGGTGTTTTTTCCTGGTTTGGTGCATTTAAACCTCAGTCTCAGTGTTTTTTTCCTGGTTTGGTGCATATAAACCTCAGTCTCAGTGTTTTTTTTCCTGGTGTGGAGCTCACAGAACTCGGTGGTTTGTGTGCAGCAGCCTGACACGCTGCTGTCCATGGTGCTGAAACCGAACCGCGTCTCTGCACTTTATTTATAGAAATGTGTGATTTGTTCGAGTTGCAAAACTACAAAACACACAACCAAGTATCGCGAGAAGGAGCCTTCAGAGTCTTAAACGCTCCGTGCGCGGTCAGGGTGTGTGCGCCGACCAGCGATGCGCGCGTGAAGCCGCTCTGAAGGCTGCATGTGAGGATGGCGAGGACCGTTCTCACATGAGTAAGCGCGCCTCCGCAAAAACCGGAGAGGAAGGAGAGGAGGGCGAGGAGGGCTGCATTCCCATTGACTGAGAGAGAGAGAGGGGAGAGAGAGAGAGAAGGGGGGGAGAGAGAGAGAGAGGGAGAGAGGACTCCGCCTTTACCGCCCCAACATCCAGCTCCAGTCCGGCGACGGCGGCGCAGCCTCCACAGACCGGCCGAGAGCACCAGGAGCCCCGCGCAGCTCGACCCGACATCCCGGCGCAGAGACGCGGACATGGGCTCCCCGTGAAACCGGGCGGTGGAGGGGAGAGGAGGGCCGGCGGGGGGTGGGGGGGAGCGACGACGAGAGCGTGGTGGGAGAAACACCCAGAGAGAGCGACAGAGAGCGGACAAACAAAAGCACAGCCGAGCGGCGCTGCGACCATGAGCGGCTCGCTCTATTCGCCGGAGCTGCGGCTGCCGCTGCCGCCGCCGCGCCGCCCGCGGACCATGTCGTGAGGTGTGGCTCGGAAACGCTCCGGGGAACCTGTCAGCCGAAACGACACGCCGAGGAGGAGCAGCAGGAGGAGGAGGAGGAGGTGGTGGTGGTGGTGGTGGAGGTGGAGGTGGGGTGGTGGTCGAAAAGATGTCCGCCTCGGTGGGGCCCCAGGGCGGCCCTCGCCCACCCACCGTGCCGCCAGCCATGCCGGATCTGCCGGACCTGAGCCACCTCACCGAGGAGGAGAGGAAGATCATCATGGCAGTGATGGCTCGGCAAAAGGAGGAGGAGGAGAAAGAACAAGCCATGCTAAAGTAAGAGCAGCGTCTTTATTATTTATCCTTTAAGGAAGTTCTAGACTGATGGCACCATCACAGGTTGTTCCCAAACATGTAGGCCCACCACAGTACCGACACATCCAGGCGCCGAGGAGCAGCCAGAGCTCCGGATGTGTCTCCAGGAGAAGTCCGCATCGTCAGAGAGACTCAGGCAGCCTCAGCTGACGGAATCCTGCCGGAATCAGGCAGTAAATTAAAATAATTTACGGTCCCAGTCAGCGGAGATGACCCGAAACAGGGTCAAACGTGTTACAGGTGTAGATTGGGGCTGAGAGGATGGGGTGTGACAGCGCTGCTGGGGGGGAGGAGGGGGGAGGCAGGGGGATGAATCATAGCATTATCCATCCGCTGGTTTTCATCAATGGGGACTGCACCCCAGCCCTCCGTTTACACATCCAGCACCGCTCGCTTTTCGCTTTTACGCACGGCTTTCTATCAGAGGAGCTCTCTGCAGGCTGGGAGCGTGCGTGTGCGCGCGTGCGTCTGTGTGCATGCGTGTGTGGGGAAGAGAGACATCGCTTTGGCAATAATGGGAACAACAATGACATTATAGCTGAGAGGCCTGGAGCGACCCGAGCCGTTTTATCAGTCCGACGGAGGCACGGCGCGTATCCGAGCGTGTGTGCTCCCCCTCGGCGGTGAGGGAAGCAGAAGATGGGGTGTGGTTGGCAAATCTTAGCGAGGCCCGAACCGGACAGAAAAGATAGAACATGCTTAGTGTGATCACCAGACAAGCAATAAATCTCCCAAAACATTACGCACGAATCAGCTCCACTAAAGGAGCATTATGGGGGAATGGCAGGAGGAGGCTATAGGTCACTTTAAACGCGCTGCGAGATGTCAGAGAGACGCTACGGCGGTTTGTCAGCAGGGCTGGGTGTCGGTTGCAGCTCGGTGCCTCCGGGGTTTCCAGCTCCGCCTGCACCGAGCGCCGGGCCTGTGCGTCCGTCTGCGCCGGAACATGTGCGGGCACCTGGGCCGCCGGTGGACGCGTAATAACGGATGTTGCAGGCGCGCAGCGTCCTCCAGCTCTCCGGCTCTAATGGCTGTTTTCATTTCCTGACTGCAGCCTGGAGGGAAGCTGGGTGAGGGCCGCCGCGGGCCCCTGGAGAGGAACTGATGTATTTAATGTTCCATGAGGCACAGGCGCAGGTTCAGTCAATAATGGCTTCATCATCTGGCTAATCATTAATGGGAGCAGAACACCGTGGACAAAGGACAAATGTGACTTCAGAGAAATGCAGCCGGTCTGTGATATTTGCTACAATATTCAGTCCAAGATACTGAATAGGTGTGAGCAGAGTGTGCAGTAGATCAACAAACAGAGAAAGGTTTCAGTGTTTGAGCATCAGTGGAAACATCAGCAGGATGTAAAGGGAGACACACTACAGGTGGATGGGTGACAGTTTTAAATACAGCACCAGATATCACCATGAAACTTCCCCAGCAGGTTAGAAATCATGTCTTACTACAAGTTTTAGACGATGTATGTGTAAATACACACAACACTGCCAACATCCAGACAAAACATACATTTTTTATCATGTTTAAAGGAACAAAATGTCCCATAAATCAGCTCTGATGTCAGATATCACCACGATACGTCCTCGTTCATTACTCACAATACAAGACAGTTAATTAAGCTTTCTGAAAACGCACGTGTCAACATATACATCAGAGAAAAACGCCAGAAAAAATCTGTGTTCACCATGTATTTAGGAACAAAATGTTCTATAATCCAGGCAGTGAATTATATATGAAGAAAGCCTTCAGTAAAAACATTCAGAACATACAGAGAAATAAAGTTTAGTGTATATCAGAGCTACTGAGGTGAAGATATCAGACTGGGAGGAGAACACTTATTTTAACTAACAGATAAAACTTCTCCAGTGGATTATTTATAATGAGACAGTTAATGTTTGTATTGCATGTTTTACAGATGTACCTCTCAGTATGCAAAACTGTTTTTATCACTACATATACCAGGGAAATATGTGAAAAACAATCAATGTATGTATCTATAAATCAGGCATTGAATGATATCTGAACAAATTCTTCAGTAAAAACATTCAGCGTGTAAATAAGAATAAAATCGGACAGTTTGCTGGATGCAAAAGTACTAAAGTAGGAGATCGTTTTTATCAGAAACCAAAGTTTAAATGAGCAGATGTCACCGTGAAGCCTGCCCAGGTTTTCTTAAAATTCACATTTAAACATGCATGTCTGTTTTTATAAGGCAGATTTCCACCATGCAAAGCAAACTAGACGTTCTATACATCAGGCTGTGAGTGATGAAGAAACAGACCATAGACAGGATTAAATCTGTGACGTTTGGTGGATGAAAGTGCTGCTGAAGCGAATATTTCTTAACATCTCCTGTTGAGCAAACGGCCTTTAAAGATTGTGTTCTGTTATTGAAATCTACAAACAGACAAAGTGTAGTATTTAGTTTTCTCTTTATTAGTCTGAAAGAAGTCACGTTATGAAAGTGAAACGTCCCAAAATCTCAAAGCTGACCAGTGCATGAAAAAACAAGTGACAGCAGAAGTATTGGCTGAACTTGATAGAAGCACTGCTAATGTTGCTCAGGACCAGTTAGCCTGGTCGTGTTAAAGAGAAGAAACATGTAGAGACAGAAGCTGATTTTTATAAGAGAGAGACTAAGTGAGGGAGAAATTAAGGAAGGAATGCATTTTTTTTAAAGTTGAGGCCTTGTGCCACGACTTCTTTCAGTTTTAATCAGCTCTAACGTGATCCAGTCGCCACTAAACCTAAAAACCAGCCAGCAAGAAATCCAGACTTAAACTTTACTAATTCAGGAAACGCAGACATTAAACTACACATAAATGTTAGAATAATTTAATACTAGCAAGTAAATGTGTGAGGTCTTTAACCATCTTTAACTTAAAGATGAGTTTTTTCTGTGGGTTCTGCTACGGAGAAGGTTCAACAAATCCAGGCTTTGTTTGTGTCAGCTGGCTCAACAAAACCCAAAACCCCAGTCAGAGATAATCACTATCGCAGCAGCAGTTATTTGTTAACCAGGTTTTCTTCATTAGACTCTGGACGCATGAAAAGGGTCGTCTGATGTGTCACATCTTCGACACCAAATGGACCAATCATGTGGCGCCTACTGCAGTAAAGCAGGTTGTTGTGATGGACGGCTGCTACTCTCCATAAAAGGCCCAGTTTCTGCATATATGACAGGAGATGAATGCTGGTCGAGAACTATTAATTGTTGAAGTCAGTATTTTTATAGTGACCGTCTAACGTGACGAATCAGAGCTCTGACACCGTCTCAGAGTGACGGATACGCAGAAGCGGCTTCAGTTTTTGGCCAAATCAAGGTGAAATTATTGCTATTAGTTGAATATTCGTTCTCTTCTGTTAGCCGCAATTTAAAACGGACCGGGCAGCTAATCGTGACCAAACATAAAAACACACACATTTAGGAATGTATGCGGGTTCCCATGGCAACACAACGCACGCATGCTGTAACTGCGCGGCGTCGTTCAGTTTGATCGCAGCTCAACAGGTCCGCAGATAAACTCGCTCGGAGAGAATCGTCCGGAAAACAAACGCCGAAACAGACGGCTTGATTTAAAGACTCGACTCGGCTGTGCAGCATCCGTTACCATGGTGATCTAGCACTTTAAAAGACCTTCACAAACTCTGATTTTAGGCTCAACACACCTGCTAACCCATCAATGTGTCCTTTGAGCTACTTTCCGTCTCCAGTTTTGACCTTTGGAAGTTTCAAATTTAGTATCGCTGTTTAGAATAATGCTGCACCAGAAACACTCCAACAGAGGAATAACACACAGGACAGGTGTGTTTATACACTCCCTCCATCTCCCTACAGTTTAGTTAATTTATTTGCTATAAAAAGACAATAAACGGCGTTAAAGATGAATCTGATTTGGACCTTTTCTCTATGTGCCACGTGAATATTGTGAATTCTTTTGGCAGCGATAATCACATTAATAAAATCGTGGCAGCTTTTTTTTTTGTTTTCAGGGCTTTAACAGTGAAAACAGGAGTTTTCCAGATGTAGGTGCTGACCGGCCTCGTGCATGTTGGCACAAATGGGATTTAGTGATTTAAGTTGCGGTGGGATGAGAATGCAGGATTATCTCCATAATTCAGTGCAGATAGTTGCACAGATTTTTCTTTCAGCGGATCAACCGGCTCTCTTCGTTTTGTTGGCGTCGGGAGGTTGGAGTCTTCAGCCGGGCGGGAGCAACATGTGCCGCAAAGGTGCTGATCTTGTTCATGGAAAGTCAGTTTAGTTAGAGGCATGTTAAAAGCAACTAAAAGAACAACAAGAAAACAACACAGGGTAAATATCCAAACTAGTTTTCAACCTCTGTGATGTCGTGGGTGCGAGTAAAGTTAAAAAAGGCAGAGAAGAAGTGAAGCAAATTACTTATAAACGCAATAAAACCTGACAAAGGAATCGACATGTAACTGGGAGTCGATGCAGAGAAGCCAAAACGGGTGAAATGTTGATGTCAAGAAAGCAAACGGACACCTCAGTGTTGCTGTAATCGAGCCTTTAAAGGCAGAAATCTCTCTTTAAAATGTGCGAAAGAGAGAAAAGTAACAAACTAATCCAATACTTACATGCTGTTGTCTGCAACAGGTGTGTCAGAGGAACCATTTGGTGCCAAATGGATTAACCAAAAACAGATATTGGAACTGATCGCCTCTTGAATTGTGCAGCACAATCTGAGCTACACTAATTGTAGCTCAGAATGATTGTTTATGTGTTTTTTCTGTTTTGATCGGCACGCGACGTGTTTAAAACCAAAATAAACTCAATCAGGTTGAACGGATGAAGCGACATTTCATTTAGAACCAAACATGCTGCTTAAAGTACAGAAAATATTGTAATTAAATCATTTGTTTTCTGTCTATTTGGTCGTGAATTTCTGTATAATTTGTGGCCACAAAGATGTTTTTCACTGTAGGCTCACCCTCTGTGGAA